GCAGCAGGATGAAAAAGCTGCATGAATCTTTAATCTCTGTATCATTATCTGTTATCTTTTTATTTTTTCTCCAGTTTTGAGCTAGAATCGCTTGTCTAATCAAGCTGTTAACAAGTCTGATATACTTTGGCATGGTTAACTTGAAGATTTTGTACTGCACATTGGGTTTTAAACATATACATTAAATGCGTCACCTGGACTTTGATAGTTCATCACCTCAGATTGTTCATCACCTGTTTACGTTTATGATTAATCAATACTTGTTTGCTTCAAATCAGAGTATGCATGGGATTTTCAAAAGCTCTCAGCATTGGTCTATCTCTGTTCTCAGTGAAATAAATGGGAGTGTTATTACTGACTGCAATGGGAGTTGAATTAGGCCAACACAGAGTTTCAAGATTTTTCAATTTTTTTGCAAATAAAACAAAAGTATAAAACTCTTTCTAAAGACTCAGAATTGACTTAACCCTTGTCTAAAGCAGTTTCTTATTCTCAAAGTCTTTCTTCTGTAGTTGCTGGTTTTCAGTCAGTCCAGGATCCATTCCTTTACAAATCATCCCCCACCACCAACAGCGTTCCTCAGAGAAATGGATAAGGGCTTTGTTAGATAACTAGATTGAATACTGGACACTGTAAAATCTATTATTTCTTAGTAGATTTACTTATAAAATTGTTTTGCTGAATTTGGGTAGCTGGGTTCCCCGTCCTTATTTGTATTTGCTTGGCAACTTTTCCATCGAAGTTCAGGCATTCTGACTACTTCCAATTTGAAATATTTCTGGTGGTTTTGCTCTCAGAAACAATTGTAGCTTTCATCTGATTTAATGTACTGCAGTGAATTAAGTGTCCTTTTCATAAGAGGCTAGCTTCTGTTGCTGAAACACCTGACCTTTGCAGTGTTTTGGACAGATGGTCTACCATGGCTAGGACTTTTTGACCTAGTTCAATACCAAAGAAGTTTAAAGAAAAGGAGTACTTGTGGCACCTTAGAGACTAACCAATTTATTTGAGCATAAGCTTTCGTGAGCTACAGCTCACTTCATCGGATGCATACGGATACATCCGATGAAGTGAGCTGTAGCTCACGAAAGCTTATGCTCAGATAAACTGGTTAGTCTCTAAGGTGCCACAAGTACTCCTTTTCTTTTTGCGAATACAGACTAACACGGCTGTTACTCTGAAAGAAGTTTAAACTTTTCAATCTGAGCTGCCATACCACTAATTCAAGCTCTCATTTCAGGATCTTTCGTTGCATCCTTCACAAACTCCCAAGTTGCACATAGAGGAAGGTAGTTCTTAGAAATTTAAACCAGTGCTTCTGCATAGAGAGCTCATCTTGTTCGATCAAGGGCTTGGATGCCTGGTGATGTACTGAACACTTCATATTTTATACCTGAAATTTAGCATTTTGTGAGAGTCATTTTTAAATTAGTTTTGTGATTTTTGTAAACAGCTTTAAGATACTAAGATGTTTTAGGATACTATTATTTTTTACTAGTGTCCTGGCATGCCAAATATATATACTTATTGCTATATATATATACACTTATTGCCTAATACTAAGCCTGCCATATTTAGCAGTACCATCATAAGTGTCCATGACAGTTATTTATCCCCAGATGTATATGTACAGTAAAACCTGTGTTGGAGACCACCTCTGAGAGAGACTACCTGTCCTGAGGCAGTACTTGTAGAGGCTATAGAATACCACTGCTCTCTGGTGTGCAAACCTTTGAAGAGAGACCTCTTCTTACAAGCGGCCATTTTTGCAACTCCCATGAGTGGTCACTCTTGGCAGGTTTTACTGTAATAGTTGTATTGGTAATTATAGATATGTTATCTGTGTGGATGTACATGCTACATTGTACAATCCAATGAAGTCTTCATCAATATTCATGTCATCATCCATCTATCACAAGGGCAAAACCTCTTGCTCTTTGTTAAAGGAGCCGGTTTCATCCATCCTAACTATGTACCACTTTCCAGAAATTTTTTCAAAAATGTCCTTCATGATTTCAAGAGCTGGGATTTCTATTATCTCATTTTGAATACCTGTACTTGTAAATTTGTCTTGATTCTCTTTTAAGCCATTTTGAAATATTAGGATCATATTCTGTCTGCAAGCAGAGCAGTTGAATGAAGTTGCAGTCAACCTCTCAATTTAAAGATGTAATTTCCATTGGTTCAGTATAATGTCCTCTGTAAGATCTTTGTCTGGCAAGATAACATAACTACTTAGTATTTTCATTAGGATCTTCTAGTTTTCTTCTTTCTTCTTCTTAGCTTACTAAAAACTGTCATCAACATTCTTTGTGGTCTTTTAAAGAATATAATTTGTGGTGACATGGAGAGATTGGTGCTTCTCAGATTTATCTCAAGCCACTTATCAACTGAGGAATCCAGACTGTGTGAACGCTTTATCTGTGTACGTAGTCCAAAGTAATTTGCACCTAAAAGCTGTACAACAGTAGAAACAAAATATGCTGTCTCTAAATACAGCATAACAAAGCCACTGAAAATCATCATCAAACCAGGTTAAAGTTATACCAGCCTTGTTTTGTTGTGCACAGGGAAAGACTTAAGTCATGGTTGACGAGGTGACCCAGATACGTTAAAGGTACCAGGGAACTGGAATTAGGTTCCTCTTATAGGCTACGGCAGAGATGGCTCAGTACTACAACCCACAGCTGGTGATACATTTGTTGTTGGAAATGTACTTTCCTTCATTTTATACAGCCATGTTTTAAGTGCTCTCATTTCATTTTAGCACCTTGAAGAATATAGTTTGTTTTTGTACTTTACTCATTGCTAATAATTTAGTAAGAATGGTTTAGGATTGCAGAATTAAACACACACACAATACTCTGGCAAATTGAAATATTTAGATGGCCTCTTTTTTCCTATTGTCAAGGTTCCTCCCCCACTCTGAACTCTAGGGTACAGATGTGGGGACCTGCATGAAAAACCTCCTAAGCTTATCTTTACCAGCTTAGGTCAAAACTTCCCCAAGGTACAAAATATTCCACCCTTTGTCCTTGGATTGGCTGCTACCACCACCAAACTAATACTGGTTACTGGGGAAGAGCTGTTTGGACGCGTCTTTCCCCCCAAAATACTTCCCAAAACCTTGCACCCCACTTCCTGGACAAGGTTTGGTAAAAAGCCTCACCAATTCGCCTAGGTGACTACAGACCCAGACCCTTGGATCTTAAGAACAATGAACAATCCTCCCAACACTTGCACCCCCCCTTTCCTGGGAAATGTTGGATAAAAAGCCTCACCAATTTGCATAGGTGACCACAGACCCAAACCCTTGGATCTGAGAACAATGAAAAAGCATTCAGTTTTCTTACAAGAAGACTTTTAATAAAAATAGAAGTAAATAGAAATAAAGAAATCCCCCCTGTAAAATCAGGATGGTAGATACCTTACAGGGTAATTAGATTCAAAAACATAGAGAACCCCTCTAGGCAAAACCTTAAGTTACAAAAAAGATACACAGACAGAAATAGTTATTCTATTCAGCACAGTTCTTTTCTCAGCCATTTAAAGAAATCATAATCTAACGCGTACCTAGCTAGATTACTTACTAAAAGTTCTAAGACTCCATTCCTGGTCTATCCCCGGCAAAGACAGAATATAGACAGACACACAGACCCTTTGTTTCTCTCCCTCCTCCCAGCTTTTGAAAGTATCTTGTCTCCTCATTGGTCATTTTGGTCAGGTGCCAGCGAGGTTACCTTTAGCTTCTTAACCCTTTCCAGGTGAGAGGAGCTTTCCCCTGGCCAGGAGGGATTTCAAAGGGGTTTACCCTTCCCTTTATATTTATGACACCTATAATGAATGAGATGACTATATAAAGTAGAAGAATGAAGAAAGGGAATGGCTTACACCTGATCAGTTGATTACACTAGATAAAAATTGCTTTTATAACCCTCTGTGTTCTTCTCTTTGTCTCACCCTTTGACAAAGAAAAGACTACAAATACAATGGGAGCTGGAGGCCATTTGACCTCCCCAGGCATGATGTGACTGAGGTTAGACTCTGCAAAAAGACAGCTAAAGAATCACGGGCTTCATGATATCTATCTTCCCCCTCCTTTTGTGAACACACTACTTGGAACTCACGCAGGGGTGAGAAAGAAGAGAAGAGCTAATCGGGAAACTCTAGGAGTCAACCCTTAGAGGAGTGGTAGTTGAGGTGAACCTCACACATGCACACAGAATTTCCCTTTACAAGAAGAAGAGCCCCTACTTGTTGAGCCATTTATCAGTCAGGGAAGAAAAGAACCAGAGCCTGTTGTTGCAGCAAAGACCTTCAACCCAGCTCTGGCTACCAAGAGCCAGCTGATACCCCAAAGGAAAGAGAGGGACCCCAAGCTACCAAGACCTCCTGAGGACTGTAGGACTCCAAGGAGGAATAAAACAAACTATGAGTTATCAGAGGCCTGTCTCTTGTACAGTAATTAGATAGTGGGGAAAATGCTATTCAACAGCTATATGTTTGATTAAGTTTTCATTCAAAACCCACACTAAATAGGAAAAGTTGTCTACACCCCTGGTCAAACTGGAGGGCTAGACTGTTTTTCATTAGTCCACTCAGAGGAATGACTCTCTTGCCTCCCCTTATGGACCTAGATAAAGACCAGCATTTCACATCGTTCACCCCCTCTCTTTGCAAGACTGATACTTTCTTCCCTACTGAAAGGGAACCAGTGTATTCCAGTTGCTACAGCTTAGTCCTTTACTTGCATTCTGCTGACTGGTTTATACAAGAAAGGCAAGATTGTGCTTGCCTGAGGGCTAAATGCCACAATTTCCCTGTGCAAGGGAAGATGCACACTGTGTTTACACCAGCTGTGAGGCTAGCACAGATTGCTACTTCCACAGTCTAGCTCCACCCTTGGGACAGTGTGAAGTGGGTGAAAGCCCACAATTTATTTCTTTTGCGTGCCATTTTCCCAGGCACAAGCTCTCCCTGTACTCTGCAGGGCACACACTCTGCTACTGTGAACAGACTTTGCATACAATCAGGCCTGAGTGTTAGATTGTAAATTCCTTTGGGCAGGGACCTGTCAGCCCTCAATTAATAGCTGATATTCAGGCCCATTTGTACATATTTGTCAGCTGAGATGGCAATTTGAATCGCACTGCCTGAGATAACTTTGGAAACTTAACCTGCAGCTCACAGCGGGGTGAACACAAATAAAGGTATGTGTTTGTCAGGAGAACACAAATCCAATTACTTAGAGAACTAAAGCTTTTTATTTTTTGTGGGGGGAAAATAACAAATATTCTTGCAGTACATTTTAATATAAAAATTCTTATTCTGATATTATAATATACAAAGTGAAATTAGTGTAGTATAGGGAAACAGCTGAAAAAGCCTTCAGAACTTCTGGTTAATCCAGGAGCAAGGTAGCTAGCCTAGCTGAAGGAACATTACAAGGAAGCTCTTAGATCTGAGCTTACTGTTGTTTTGGACAATGTAAGCACTGTGGTTACAGCTTTTGTACTTCACAGCCTATTATACTAAAGCTAAGGCTCAACTGATGCTCTTACATGTTGGTGTATTAACTACTGCTATATTATGAATTCACATTTGAAATAATGGGCTTGACTGTCTTGTGGAGACTTTCCACTGAAAGCAGAGGAAAAACTGTGACCTCTTTCATATTCACAAAGTAAATGTGATCCGTTTCTCACTGCCAATTAGCTTTTTGGTGCAAAAGTTCTAATAGAACCAAAAGGCAGATGATATCAGTTTTAATGCTTCAATAAATTCATTCAACTTTTTTAACTTTACTTAACTCTTATGCTAACAGAGTACACTTTCACTGCTGAATCCAAGGACTTGATGTACAAACTGTGTTAAAATTAAAGTTGCATATCTCTGCTTCAAATGTACTGAATTTAAAATATACTTTACCCATTAATTTGGTCTATAGTCTAAAATACAATGCAGTAAGCATTGCATTTAACCACGCTAAAAAGTTAAATGTTAGGGTGAGAGAGACAGAGCTATGTAAAAACACTTCAGCAGAATGTGTTTTCCAAAGTCAAAGGGCTAATGATTAGCACTGCGTGAGCTCTGGAATGTTCAATTTTCAATAGACTGGAAGTGAACCAATCCCTGCTGGATAAACTCCAACCTTCAAGGCACACAGTACTAATCATTAGCCCTTTGACTTTCAAAAACACATTCTGCTCCACCATTTTTACATAACACTGCCTCTCTGACCCTAACATTTAACCTTGTCTACTCCCCTACAGGAACATTCTAGCAGTCTTGTTAGCAGTCCCCACCCTCCATAAGCCCTTGCATTCCCCTTTACTCACATTAGGTTTCTTATAGGAGACCCAATGCCCTGTCTCCTCTCCCCTGGGCCTTTTTACTGAACAGGGTACATGCAGTAGCAGGCCACCCTAAGAAGTCATCGGGGTGAAAGTAGAGGCTATAAAAAGCATTAAAACTAATACCATCTGCTTTTTGATTCTGAAACTTCAGAACTTTTGCACCAAAAAGCTAATTGGCAGTCAGAAATGGATCATGTTTATTTTGTGAATATGAAAGAGATAAAATTGCCATATAATACAGGGTTCAGTAGAAGCACAAAAACACTTTTTACACACACACATAGTAGCACCGACTTAGTAACTAAACTCAGTGGTAGTGAATCCCCCTAATGCAGACTGGAAAAATTGTCATAAAAATGTATTAGCCTATTAAAAGGTCTGTTGCCTTTGTCAGTAATTTTTAATGACAATTTTGCAAGTTTGCATTACATTACTTTCCTCCAGAGCTGTTGCTGCAGACCTGGATTGTAGAGAGATTAGATAAAGAGGGCTGGTGCTGGCATCTGGTGACGAAGTGAGTGAGAGGCTAGACTGATAGTGTTGACTACTAGAAAGAGGACCCAGTTATTTCATGCAGGGGTGATCCCAAAAAATGCTCAGTCCCAAATTTCCTAAAACCACATACTTTGTAACAAACAGCCCTCTCCCAGACCACTTAGAGAGAGAGACTGAGGTTCATTTATTCCTTTAAAGGTACAATTTTACCCAGAAGCTTGCCACATTAACTGGAGTTTAACATTCACTTTAAATCAAACAACAGTACTCGATTGGTTTAGAGTAAAAGTAAAACAAGTTTATTAACAAAAGAAGACAGGATTTTAAGTGAATTCAAGTATAAAGGGCAGAGTTAGAAATAGTTACAAGCAAATAAAAGTGAAAAATGATTTCTAGAGGCTAAGACTTAACAAAACAAGCTACAGCCTTTGTTCAAGGTGGTTTCCTTACCAATACACCTTCCAGCAAGAAGGCTGACCATCCCTCTGGTCAGGCTCTCCCACAAAGTCCTGAGTGTTTGGTTCCTTTATCATCTTAGGTGAAAGATAACTTGGGGTTCTTTCCCCCTCTCTTTTATAGTCTTGTCCAGTGGTTCCAAACTTTTTCCGCCGCTTGTGCAGGGAAAGCCCCTGCTGGGCTGGGCCAGTTTGTTTACCTGCCGCGTCCGCAGGTTCGGTCGATCACGGCTCCCTGTGGCCACGGTTCGCTGATCCAGGCCAATGGGAGCTGCTGGAAGCGGTGGCCAGTACATCCCTTGGCCCGCGCCGCTTCCCGCAGCCCCCATTGGCCTGGATCAGTGAATCACGGCCAATGAGAGCCACTATCGGCCAAACCTGCCGACGCGGCAGGTAAACCGGCCTGGCCTGCCAGGGGCTTTCCCTGCACAAGTGGTGGAACAAGTTTGGGGACCACTGGTCTAGTGAACCTTTGAAATGGATTCTTCTGAAAATTACCTCCCTTCCAAAGAGAGAGTTTATTCAAGCTGTACGGAAGGCAACTTGAAGTCTCCTGGTGAAGGAAGTTTCATGCTGGTTTCTTCCCCTGCTGGTGTTTGCTAAAATGTAAATTGATCTGTTTCCTGCAATCTCCTCTCTCCTCCTTCCCCTTATTAGCTTGATGGTCCTGTTTACCTTCTATGTAAATTGCATTCCCATTGTTTCTTACTGTACCTTGAAATATCTTCCAAGTTGCAGAATCACATTCCTTTAACTAGAATGGAGTAACTTTTGCTCTGCCTGGCAGACACACTTTAATAACACAATTTCCAAAGTGTTTGTAATTTTGAATTTGTCCTCTATACATATATCACACAATAGTGATAATGATCAGCAAGTTACTAGCTTTCAATTGGTATCTTACATGACGCCTTCTAGATACAAGTTATGACCTTAGTGAGTTGGAGTACACTCAACTGATGAGGCCAGCAGAAACTGACTACCAGATACCCTTGCCTTCTTGCATTGGGTTGCAGTTATGGTCACAGGAAACTGGTTCCAAATATTTCCACCCAGTACCGACTTCACTGGTCACAGGAAACTGGTTCCAAATATTTCCACCCAATACCGACTTCACTGGAAACTTTCACAAGCAGATACTCTACATGCCAATTACTGAATACACATCTCCACATACAAGGAATCATTCTTCCAGATCTCATTTTCAATTGATTGACAGAACATTCCTTTAATATAAAACAGATTAAATCCATTAAATCATCCTACAAAAGCTGCCGTCAAAGCAGATCAAAGGCTTTATCTAGATCACAGGCCCTGGTTTTCATGGGGGACTTCAATCACCCTGATATTTGCTGGGAGAGCAATACAGCAGTGCACCGATAATCCAGGAAGTTTTTGGAAAGTGTAGGGGACAATTTCCTGGTGCAAGTGCTGGAGGAACCAACTAGGGGCAGAGCTCTTCTTGACCTGCTTCTCACAAACTGGGAAGAATTCGGAGGGGAAGAAAAAGTGGATGGGAACCTGGGAGGCAGTGACCATGAGATGGTCGAGTTCAGGATCCTGACACAAGGAAGAAAGGAGAGCAGCAGAATATGGACCCTGGACTTCAGAAAAGCAGACTTTGACTCCCTCAGGGAACTGATGGGCTGGATCCCCTGGGAGAATAACGTGAGGGGGAAAGGAGTCCAGGAGAGCTGGCTGTATTTTAAAGAATCCTTATTGAGGTTACAGGGACAAACCATCCCGATGTGTAGAAAGAATAGTAAATATGGCAGGTGACCAGCTTGGGTTAACAGTGAAATCCTTGCTGATCTTAAACACAAAAAAGAAGCTTACAAGAAGTGGAAGATTGGACAAATGACCAGGGAGGAGTATAAAAATATTTCTCAGGCATGCAGGAGTGAAATCAGGAAGGCCAAATCACTTCGAGTTGCAGCTAGCAAGGGATGTTAAGAATAACAAGAAGGGTTTCTACAGGTATGTTAGCAACAAGAAGAAGGTCAAGGAAAGTGTGGGCCCCTTACTGAATGAGGGAGGCAACCTAGTGACAGAGGATGTGGAAAAAGCTAATGTACTCAGTGCTTTTTTTTGCCTCTGTCATCATAAACAAGCTCAGCTCCCAGACTACTGCACTGGGCAGCACAGTATGGGGAAGAGATGACCAGCCCTCTGTGGAGAAAGAAGTGGTTTGGGACTATTTAGAAAAGCTGGACGAGCACAAGTCCATGGGGCCAGATGCACTGGATCCACGGGTGCTAAAGGATTGCAGAGCCATTGGCCGTTATCTTTGAAAACTCATGGTGATCGGGGGAGGTCCCAGATGACTGGAAAAACTCTAATGTAGTGCCCATCTTTAAAAAAGGGAAGAAGGAGGATCCGGGGAACTACAGGCCACTCAGCCTCACCTCAGTCCCTGGAAAAATCATGAAGCAGGTCTTCAAGGAATCAATTTTGAAGCACTTAGAGGAAAGGAAAGTGATCAGGAACAGTCAGCATGGATTCACCAAGGGCAAGTCATGCCTGACCAACCTAATTGCCTTCTCTGATGAGATAACTGGCTCTGTGGATGAGGGGAAAGCAGTGGATGCGTTATTCATTTACAATATTCATTTTGATACGGTCTCCAACAGTATTCTTGCCAGCAAGTTAAAGAAGTATGGGCTGGATGAATGGACTATAAGGTGGACAGAAAGCTGGCTAGATGATGAGGCTCAACGGGTAGTGATCAATGGCTCCATGTCTAGTTGGCAACCAGTATCAAGTGGAGTGCCCCAAGGGTCAGTTGTCGGGCCGGTTTTGTTCAATATCTTTATTAATGATCTGGAGGATTGCACCCTCAGCAAGTTTGCAGATGACACTAAACTGGGAGAAGTGGTAGATATGCTGGAGGGTAGGGAAAGGATA